GGGCCTCCCCCTAGGTCGACTCAGCCTCAAGCGAGTAACCTGGTGTAGCGGTGGTGGTGTGGTAAGCCTCGCCAATTTGGCGGGGGGGCGGGGGGGGAGGGGGGAGACAAAGGCGGCCGTGCATGGCGCCGGCCACCCACCCCCTTCTTGTGTGCCGTGCCGGCCTTTGTAGGCGCTGCCACTCGCTACTAACAGCGCTTGCCCCTTACACTCCGTTACAGGCTACAGGGGGGATCTTTGGTGTCGTGGTGGAGAGGGGCAGAGCGGGAGGAGGAGGTGGCGGGGGGGGGGTAGCGGGGGGGGGGAGGGAGGGAGGGGGGGGGCTGCCCCCCAGTGCCGATAACAATGGTCGCCTCCTTCCCCTGCGCTCATTTGTCATCCCGTTGTTTCTCATCGGGAAGCGGAGAACGGGGCTCCAATTTAGGGCCGCACGATAAATTAGGCCGTAACTCACCAACCTCCCCCCCCCCACCAACCGCCCCCCCCCACCACCCCCACCACCCACTCGGGGCTGTGGCTGTGGAGGTGGTGGTGGTGGTGGGGGGGAAGGGGTTGATGGTGCGTGCCGAGACAACTCGGATGTGAGATGGATTTTGATGGTGGGCAGAGTGGCGTGCGGAGATACTCACTCACTCTCACTCTCTCTCTCTCCTGCCTCTCATCTCACTCTCTCTCACTCTCTCACTCTCTCTCTCTCTCCTGCCTCTCATCTCACTCTCTCTCTCTCTCACTCTCTCTCTCTCTCCTGCCTCTCATCTCACTCCACTCCCCTCCACGCTCTCTCTCTCTCTCCTGCCTCTCATCTCACTCCACTCCCCTCTCTCTCTCTCCTGCCTCTCATCTCACTCCACTCCCCTCCACACTCTCTCTCTCTCTCCTGCCTCTCACCTCACTCCACTCCCCTCTCATCTCACTCCACTCCCCCCCACGCTCTCTCCTACCTCTCCCCTCCCATCTCACTCCACTCCCCTCTCATCTCACTCCACTCCCCTCCACGCTCTCTCCTGCCTCTCCCCTCTCATCTCACTCCACTCCCCTCTCATGTCACTCCACTCCCCTCCACGCTCTCTCCTGCCTCTCCCCTCTCATCTCACTCCACTCCCCTCTCATGTCACTCTACCCCCCCCCCCCACTCTTTCTCCTACCCCCACCCTCCCCCCCCACTGAGTCCGTTTGGTACCCCTTTGGGTCCAGAATCAGAATCTCCACGTCGCCTGCAGGAATCCGAAGAGCCACAAAGACTCCATAGCCGCTACGCCTCTCTGCACCGCTGTGTTGTATTAATTAGTCCCTGTTCCCACCAATACCACCACCACCACCACCGCCACCACCACCACCACCTCCACCACCACCGCCACGACCACCATCACCACCGCCCCCCTCCCGCTCACCGAACCAGGTCTGGTGTCTCGGCAACGAGTCGAGGTACCACGTGAACCGCACCGTCGATTCGGCCGCACGGGAACTGTGGCTGGACGGTTTGGCACCGGGAGTCAAGTACCTGCTTGAGGTCGCGGCCCGGAACAGCGCCGGAGTCGGAGTTCACAGCGCGCCCCGGAGCGTCCTGATTGGTCAGTCGGACGGGCGGGCGGGATTGCGCCAGGCTAGGTGCACCCACCCACCCGCTCGGCTCGGCTCGGCCGGGCGGGTGGGTGGCACGCGATGGGCTTCGGGAGTCACCCGCACGCTCACCCGCTCGTTCACCCGCTCGTTCACCCGCTCGTTCACCCGCACGCTCACCCGCACGTTCACGGTCACTCTGGCAAACGGGACCAGAGTCTGGTCCCTTGAGTTCGTGAGTTCAACCACCAACGCCACCGCCACCATCGCCACCACCGCCACGACCACCATCACCACCGCCACCACCAACACCACTGCCACCACCGCCACCACCAACACCACTGTCACCACCACCACTGCCACCACCGCTGCCATCGCCAACACCGCCGCAACCACCACCACGACCATCACCACCGCTACCACCACCAACACCACTGCCACCACCACCACCACCGCCACCAGTGCCATCGCCAACACCGCCGCAACCACCACCACCATCACCACCACCAACACCACTGTCACCACCACTACCACTACCACCACCACCACCACCACCGCCACCGCCACCACCACCACAGCTAACGGTGCCGCGTCCCTCCCAGCTCCGGCGAGCGTGGTGCCGGCGGGCGGTGGCGGTGACGACGACCTGGCGGAGCAGATCACCGACGTGGTGAAGCGTCCGGCGTTCATCGCGGGCCTGGGCGCTGCTTGCTGGGTGCTGCTCGCCTGCCTCAGCCTGTGGCTCTACTGCCGGCGCAAGCGGCGCAAGACGCTCGCCGGATACGCCGGTGAGACGGGGCGCCGTCACCACCACCGTCACCGTCTCCACCACCACCGTCACCACCACCACCACAGTCACCACCGTCACCACCGTCACCACCACCACCGTCACCACCACCACCGTCACCACCACCACCGTCACCACCACCACCGTCACCACCGTCACCATCACCACCATCACCGTCACCACCGTCACCACCGTCACCATCACCACCATCACCACCATCACCACCATCACCACCACCGTCACCACCACCACCGTCACCGTCTCCACCACCACAGTCACCACCACCACCGTCACCGTCACCACCACCGTCACCACCACCACCGTCACCACCACCACCACCACCGTCACCGTCACCACCACCGTCACCACCACCACCGTCACCACCACCACCACCACCACCGTCACCGTCACCACCGTCACCACCACCATCACCACCACCATCGCCACCACCGTCACCACCACCGTCACCACCACCGTCACCACCGTCACCACCACCGTCACCACCACCGTCACCGTCTCCACCACCACCACCACCGTCACCACCACCGTCACCACCACCTACCCACTCACCCACCCACCCGCCCAGCCACCCTCGTGCACCGTGATAACCCCGTTAGAGGCCCTTCTGGCGGGTGGGTGGTGGGGGAGTGGGTGAGTGGGTAGGTGGGTGGGTGAGTGGGTAGGTGGGTGGGTGAGTGGGTGGTGAGTGAGTGGGTGGGTGGGTGAGTGAGTGGGTAGGTGGGTGAGTGGGTGGGTGGGTAGGTGAGTGGGTGAGTAGGTGGATGGGTGGGTGAGTGGGTGAGTGGGTGGGTGAGTAGGTGGTGGGTGGGTGAGTGGGTGGGTGGGTGAGTGAGTGAGTGAGTGGGTGGGTGGGTGGGTGAGTGAGTGAGTGGGTGGGTGAGTGAGTGAGTGGGTGGGTGGGTGGGTGAGTGAGTGGGTGGGCGAGTGAGTGGGTGGGCGGGTGTGTGTGTGGGTGGGTGAGTGGCTGGGTGGTAGTGGGGGGAGGGACTGTTGTCTTTGTTGGTGTCGTGGGCCGAGGGTCAGGTGGTGGACGCTTCACACCCACTGTGCGTGTCTCTCTCTTTGTCGTTCCAGGCCAATCCTTCACGTTCACTCCGGCAGGTATCACGAGTCAGTGGCTCAAACCTCCTCTCTGGTCTCTGTTAGCTCTGTGCGTCTCGCCTGTCTCTGTGTGTGTGTGTGTCTGTGTGTGTGTGTGTGTCTCACTTGTCTGTGTGTGTGTCTGTGTGTGTGTGTCTCACTTGTCTGTGTGTGTGTGTGTCTGTGTGTGTGTCTGTGTCTGTGTGTGTGTGTCTGTGTGTGTGTGTATGTGTCTGTGTGTGTCAGCCTTCTTGTTGCACGTGTCCGTGTGTCTCACTGCCTTTCACCCGGTCTATGCGTCCGCGTGTGTGTCCGTGTCTATCTGTCCTCCCCCTGGGTTGTGAGTCTCATCGCCCGAGTCTGTCTCCTCGTGGTCCCGTGCGTCTCACTGTGTGGGTGTGTGTGGGTATGTGCGTGTGTGTGGGTGTGTGTGCGTGTGTGGGTGGGTGAGTGAGTGGTGAGTGAGTGGGTGGGTGAGTGGGTGGGTGAGTGAGTGGGTGGGTGGGTGGGTGAGTGAGTGAGTGGGTGGATGGGTGAGTGAGTGAGTGGGTGAGTGAGTGAGTGGGTGAGTGGGTGGGTGGGTGAGTAGGTGGGTGGGTGGGTGGGTGAGTGAGTGAGTGGGTGGATGGGTGGGTGAGTGAGTGAGTGGGTGAGTGGGTGGGTGGGTGGGTGAGTGAGTGAGTGGGTGGGTGACTGAGTAAGTGAGTGAGTGGGTGGGTGAGTGAATGAGTGAGTGGGTGAGTGAGTGAGTGAGTTGGTGAGTGAGTGAGTGAGTGAATGAGTGAGTGAGTGGGTGTGTGTGCGTGTGTGTGTGGGTGAGTCGGTGAGTGAGTGGGTGGGTGGATGAGTGGGTGGGTGGGTGGGTGAGTGGGTGGGTGGGTGGGTGAGTGAGTGAGTGGGTGGATGGGTGGGTGAGTGAGTGGGTGGGTGGGTGAGTGAGTGAGTGGGTGGGTGGGCGGGTGGGTGAGTGGGTGTGTGAGTGAGTGAGTGGGTGGGCGGGTGGGTGAGTGGATGTCTGCGTGTCCATTGACTCGCCCGTCCGCCTCCTGTCGACGTCCGCCCTGCCAAATCTCAGCGGCGCTTGTCTGTCCCGCGTCACCCGTGGCTCCCGCACGTGTCCCCCAAACGCATGACACTTCACAACAAAGGCGGTACTCGTTTTATCGACCCCCGCCCCACACGCACCCACACGCTCTGATTGGCAACCTTCCGTAACGCGAGGCTGGCGATGGCTGCGTGGCGGCTACGTTACGCCAATGGTGACACCCGGAAGCGGAGGGGATCTCGGAGGCGGCTCCGGGGTGTCCGCTTCCGCGGGTCGCGTTCCGACAGCGGCAACAGGAGCCGCCGCTCGCAAAGTTGCCGGTGGCATCACCAAAGACAAAGATCCCCCGTATAGCCTCAACAGACTGTTATTGGGCAAGTGCTGTTAGCGAGTAGCACCCTATGAAGGCCGGCACGGCACGCGAGGGGGTGGGTGACCAGCACAACCACACCCGACCGCCTTTGTCTCCGACGGTGGCGATGTTTGCATACCGCACCAGGTACTCATTTGAGGCTGAGTCGACCTAGAGGAGGCCCAGGACGGGTTCTGATAATCGTCACCGGTGTTGGCTGTGAGGGGGAATCGAAACTGGGTCGCTGGGTTCATAGCGCAGCGTAGCGCTAACTACCGCTACACTACACGCTCATACGCACATACACACACACGTACACAACAACAACAACCGCCATTCGCCACTAAGTGGCGGTGACGTCACCACGACGCTTGTGCCAGGCTATGTGCACCCTGAGGCCACGTGAAGTGTCGAACGCCCGCTGGCAGGAGGTCACGGGGCAGACCCAGGTGCCACGGGTCGACTGACTGAGATGACTGGCTGATGCACCACCTGTGCCCCCTACTGTGCCAACCTGCTGTGCTTTAGCCACCCGGCGCTCCGCTCGCTGTTGTGAGCGTCGCTCCTCCGCCCTCCGTTGTTGTTGGAGGGCGACTGCCTCCAACTGCCCAGTAGCATCCTTCACGAGCCTCCTCCACAGAGGCCGATCTTGACACCGCTGGTACCAGTCATCGGCAAGTCCACTCAGCTCCACGTCCTCCTGTACCACATCACTCCATCTCTTCTCTAGCCCGTGCCGCGCCCGCTTAGCCCCCTCAATCCGGCCAAACAAAAGCTGTTTCGGCATGCGGTGGCTGGGCATGCGGGCTACATGACCCAGCCATCGCAGCCTTGCCTGCCGGAGGAGCTCACCGATGGGACCCTGCCCAGATCTTTCAAGGATTTGTGAGCTCCTCACACAATCCAGTCTGGTTAAACCCAGGATGGATCGTAGGCAGGCCAGCCTAAATGTTTCTAACCGCCATTCGCCACTAAGTGGCGGTGACGTTACCTTGAGGCCACGTGAAGTGTCGAACGCCCGCTGGCAGGTCACAGGCTCCCTATTGAGCAATAGTGAGCCATCCCTTGACCGCACCCGGGCATCGATCAGCCTCCCATTATATCTGTACCATATGGAGATTCCCCCGATACAGCTATTGAAGGCTTCACGAACTACGTGATCAAAATAGATGTTAAATAATGTGGGAGCCAGAGGACATCCCTGTCGCACCCCAAGGTGTACAGGGAATGGCTCTGACTACCGGCAACGTAGTTTTACCCGGGCCCACTCACCATCATGAAGGTCCTTAATGATCGTGAGCAGAAGAACAACCCAGATCCCAGGCCTACTGATGGTGTCATAGGCCTTGACCAGGTCAATAAAGCAGAGATGTAGGTCTTGTTGGAATTCCCTACATCTCTGCTGTAGCAGACGGACAGAAAATATGGCATCTGTGCAGGACCGCCCTTTCCTGAAACCGCATTGTGGCTCCACAAGCCTCTCCTCAGCGTGCCTGGCAAGGCGATGTTGAATAATCCTTGCCAGGACCTTTCCCGGCACACTGAGGAGTGAGATGCCCCTGTAGTTGTTACAGTCTGTGCGGCCCCCCTTCTTAAAGAGGGGGACCACCAGGGCATCCTTCCAATCCTGCGGAACCCGTCCAGTGGTGCAGACTGTTGTTATGATGTCATATAGGGCAGTCTGTGCACAAACGCCACCCTCCCTCAGCATTTCGCTTTGGAGATCATCTCTGCCCGCTTCCTTTCCTGGTCTCAGACTCCGGATCGCCTTCAGTACTTCCTCAACAGATGACACTTCAGCCAGCCACTCACAGGGGGTGACTTCTTCCAATATTTGAGGCACCGCAGCCTCAGCAGGGTCATCCTCACTTTGTGCCACGATGTTTTCCTGGCTGCGGGATTTTCCCTCCCCCAGGACCTCACAGAAATGCTCAGCAAATTTGCAAATCTGTTCCTGGGGGTCGGAGATTGGATCACCTTTTTTCCCCTAATGATGGTAATAGGTGTGGCCTTGCAGGTTACTTTTTTGATGGAGTTAAATTGAAATTTGTGATCGCGGGCCACTGAGGCAGACTCCATCTCCTCAGCAACCCGCGACCACCACCCATCCTTGCAGCGCCTCACGGCTCTCCGAAACTCCAAGCGAAGGCTGCGGTAAGCCTCCTCATTCTCTGATGTGGGATTCTGTAGCCGATGACAGTAAGCCTGTCGCTTTTTCTCAACTATCCTGAACACCTCCTCTGTCAGCCAGGGTCTCTGGGGAGGTCTGGACCGCGTACCCAAAGCAGCCAATGCAGCTGCATGAGTGACAGTCCTAAACCTCGCCCATTTACCCTCGACATCAGGAGCAGTGGGGGACGATGCCAACCCCAGCCGCAGGCGATGATGAAATTCTCACTTGCAACTTTCATCAGATAACTGAGACCAGGCCACTTTAGATTGGAATGGGGTCCTGGATGTACACCCACCACCAGAGCGGAAGAATGGCAGGCGCATCTTACAGATGACAAGTCAATGGTCAGAGGGCAGATCAGCTCCACGATAGGTCCTGGTGTCAAGGACATGGGCTCGCATCCGCTGGTCCGTCAATATGTAGTCCAGCAGATGTTCTTGCTTGGACCCGGCATGCATCCATGATGTTGTGTGGATGCGCCGATGCCGGAATAGCGTGTTGGTAATTACAAGCCCATGGGCTGCACAAAAATCGAACAGCCTCCTACCGTTATTATTGAGCTGATCTGGCCCATGCCCTCCAATCACTCCAGACCAGGTGCCAGCATCATGACCCACCTAACTAGATGACTCGATCCCGAGGGGCCACTTTAGCCAGCACCTGTGAGAGGAGGTCAAAGAAGGCATCTGACTCATCGGCTTTGCCTGCATCCCTCCACGGATGTTCGTCTTCGGTGGGTGCATAAGTAACCACGACCAACACTCCTCGCCTCTGATTGATGGGAAGGCAAGCCCAAAACAGCCTGGGGCTTACAGCTTCCCACACCTCACCGCCACGCTCCCACGCCCCCTTCATTCTTTTGTTCATAAGAAGAGCCACACCCTGTTGTTTGGCAGTCTGCTGCCCCGAGTAGAGGACTGTCCACCCCTCATGGTGGCAGGAGCCAGAACCGGTCCACCGGACCTCCTGAATACCACAGAGATCCAGGCGGTACCGGTCCAGCTCCCGACAGAGGAGTGCTCTCCTCTGCAGTGAGCGTTCGAACATTCCATGTGGCCATCCGTAGTGGCTTTTCGTTGTTTCTGGAGTAGCCCCGAGGGGAGAGATTCAATCTCCTGGCTCCGCCAATTGGGGTTTGGCCAGGAGATGTCATAGACGCCTGTCCCCCCGGGGCCTCCGGCACAAGCTTATTAGTTACATATTTCAGTTTTCCTCGTGGTTTAGTGGTAATTAATTGAAGGTGGAGGGGTTACCAGCCCCTCGCACCCGTCCAGAGCCTCCGTTTAGCCACTGTGGTGGACACAGATGCCGTGAGGGGAGGAGCCAATCAAAATTGGACCTCCCCCCACAGCACTGTCCACGACAGAGTTACCTGTCTGGCAACACATGCACACACATACACACACGCATACACACATACACACACACACATACACACACATACACACACG